GGCTCCCTAAGAAAACCACCTACTTCGGTTTGAGTACCCGGACAATATTCCAGCCCTCACGTAAATCGTATGATTTATGTGGCGCATATCTGTTTAGTGTCTCCTTGAAACAATGGTTATGTGTTCAAATAAATCAATAAATATTACAATAATGAGTACATTATCATTTAACTAAGGTGACAGATTCTATATAAGCCAAACAGTTTTTCATTTGATCAATATTAACACAGATTGAGTCAGGATTATCTACTTAATACAAAATTATAATCAGTGTAGTCAGTTGAGTAAAGACTGATTAATTTATGTTACATGAACTATAATCAATAGATTATAATCATACTACAAGACATTCAAATCGAATAGACAATGACACCATGGTTACAGACACCAAACTATCGAATCACTTGTGAAGCAAAGTTAATAGCTCATTTCTATATTTATTCGAACACATAAACTTAGGTACAAGAAGGCACCAAATATATATGCATCACACATGTCACTTGATTTGTATGTGGGCTTGGATATTGTCCGGGTTCCCAGACCGAAACCGGTGGTTTACTTAGGGGGCAACAACCAGAACCTTCGACCTAAATCTTTGATCCACATTGCAGTAGAGCAACATTAGAAGATACAGTCCCATAGTAACCGGTGACTAAGAATGGGTTCATATGCCATTTGTTCCCTTAGGATACGGGATCCTATATTGACCATTGGTTTGGAATGAGGGTTTTTCAACTCCCTTAGGTAGACTGTCGGTGTCCATCAAACCGGTTAAAGCGTTGGACATTCGCTCTTCGTCCTCTCAATTTCGTAAACAACAGTAATGCTGCGAGAAGGCAGTGAGTAGGGCTTCTCTGGCAGTAGTTGTATGCATGTGGCCATGTGAGAGCATTTGGAGAGGGAAAGCTGACTTTCCCTACTCTTGGCCGTACCAGGGCATTTTGGAGTCCGTTTCTATATTAAGTATATGTTGATAATTTTGTTTAGACAGATAATGAAATCTTCAAATTATAAAATTTACAGTATACAAACACCTTTGGAAAGTGATAATAATTACCCATCGACTATCATCTTAGTACTGAAGCAATAAACAATTGAATTTAATCCTGTATCGAATAGAAACATCCAAGGCGGCCCTCTTGAATATCTGTGCTACCTGTTCCTGCCATCTGGATATTTCAACAAGTTATTAGTTTTATTTGTTCTGTCTCTACTCGTTACAGATTAGCTCCACTGGTTACAGCTTCTCACTACAACTCTTAAGAATTCCTTCACGAATCAAATCACTAGTGAGCATAGGTTTAGATGGTGGATGTGCACTACTGACGAGTCCCATAATAGAACCAAACGGTCATCCAGTGCTTTCAGGTTTTCAATAGTGGTCTAATATCGATCAGTTCATGATCTCAATCAAAAACTTATTCATCTTCACAACCCTATACTGATAAGTAATACGTATCATCAATCAAAAGTAAAATATCTGGCAGCAAAAGATTAAGAAGATCAAAGAGAAGAGGATGAGAACAAAGAATGATTGATGTGGAAATAAAAGAAAAATGATGTTTGAGACAATGGATTGACATTTCGTAAATAAAGTATGATTCTCAGATTTTATTAAAAGCACCCAAATACCCTGATACGGCCGAGAGTGGGAAGATTCCCCTCTCCCTCTCCAGATGCTCTCACATGGCCACGCGTACACAGCCACTGTCAGGTAAGTCCTACTCACTGCCTTCTCGTGATGGGGGTGTTGTTTACGAAATTGAGAGGACGAAAAGCGAATGTCCGACGCTTTAACCAGGTTGGTGGACATGGAGAGTCCATCTAGGGGAGTTGGAAAATCCTGATTCCAAATCAATGGCTCCAGGACCCTGAAGGGACAAATGGTGTATGAACAAATTGTTGGTCACCGGCTACCATGGGACTACATCTCCCTACGATGCTCCACCGCCTTGTGGATCAGACCTTCAGGTCGAAGGCTTCGGGTATAGCTCCCTAAGAAAACCACCTGCTTCGGTTCGAGCACCCGGACAGTATCATAGCCCTCACACATATCAAATGAGAACTGTGTGGTGCATATGCATTTGATGCCTCTTTGTAACAATATCTATGTGTTAAAATAATGAATACAAATTTATTAAGAGATCCAGTAATGTTTTTATTCAACTACATTTAGTTGTCACCCCACTGATATTCTCATTCATTACATTACCACTAATTGTTTTGTTAAAGAATTTACATTTATTTGAAAATTCCATTATGTAATGGGTTTTTTTTTGTGTTTTGTAGACAACATGAATTTCCAATTTAGTTTACTTTATTCAAACTGAAGCTTTTTTCTTTCTTTCTTTCCACTTAAAGATCATGTCTGAATCCCATATAGAGTAATCCATGTTAGATTGAGTAACTATATACAAAATTTATACTCGATTAATCTTGGTTCATAATTTTCTATCAATCTGTTAGATACTGGTCATAATTCAGTGTGATTAGATTGTGTGAGTTCGATGATGGGCTCCAATACTTTATTAAATAATGTCAACAAACATGAAAGAACAAACCAGATCCCAGCAGAGGAAGAAATTAAGAAGAAGCGCTGGAAATGGATAGGACACACATTGAGGAAAGCATCGCCCCCAAATACCCTGGTACGGCCGAGAGTGGGAAGAGTCCGCTCTCCCTATAGAAATACTCTCACACGGCTACGTGTATACAGCATCTGACAGGGAAGTCCTACTCATTGCCTTCTCGTGGCGGGGGTGTTGTTTATGAAAATGAGAGGACGAAAAGCGAGCGTCCGGCGCTTTAACTGGATCCCAAATCAATGGTGCACATGGGCTCCAGTATCCTGTGGGAACAAATGGCGTATGAACCAATCGTTGGTCACCGGTTACCATGGAACTGCATCTCTTTACGATGCTCCACTGCCTTGTGGGTTAGACGTTTAGGTCAAAGGCTCGGGGTGTTGCCCCTAAGATAACCACCTGCTTCGGTCTGGGCAACCGGGAAGTATCGCAGCTCACACGCAAATAATGAACTCTCTATATCTATGGAAACTACTTTTCTCGCTTCGAGGAAAGCACCCAACTGCGTCACAAGACAAGCCCTCACATGGAATCCTCAAAGCCAAAGGTAAAACGGAGACTAAAGGACACAATACGCCACGAAATGGAGATAGACATGAAAGAAATGAACAAAAATTGAATGGAACTAGATAGGAAGGCGGAGGACAGAGTGGGTTGGAAAATGCTGGTCGGCGGCCTATGCTCCATTAGTAGTAACAGGCGTAAACAACAATCATGAAACCTACCCCAAGTTGAGTTCCTTACAACCATAAACTTGCATTATAGCATCATGTTACCTGAGGAAAAGAAATCGATATTGTAATATGTGGAGGGGGGGGATTTTAATCAGATCACAATCTATCTCAAAGCCTCATAGTTAGGAAGATATTCAAGTATGGATGAACTATTTTGAAAAGTGAATTATTCACCTAAATGAGGTCTTCTGAAATGTAGCCTTTGTTCGGATCACTTCAATAATAAAACTTTTTGTTCTACTAATTAAACCTCAAGCATCCATAAATTAGGTGGCTGTTTAACTCTGTCATATGATTATCATTATTATTATTTATGGCTTCAATAGTCAGTAACAAAGACATTGACAAGGATCTAACATAAGTTATTTATAAACCATGGAATTGAAACTCATTGAGACGTCTTATTCACTTCATTTATTCATCGAAATAATGTTAAATCTTTTATTACGATTGGTTTACAGCTATCAAACTTCTATTTCATCAAAAACTCCATTATTCATGGTTTCTTACTGTAATTGTAAGAGTAAATTAAAAATTCTGATTTCATGCTGACGTTCTATTGTTTGACAATTAATATTTATCGTATGTGTTCAAACAACAGACACTTTGATGTTATAAATGGTTTAGGAAACGTAAGAGTATGTAATGACATAGGAATTCAGTGAGATCATCAACTGAATGTTAATTTATTCTTAATGGTATAGATCTATTATTTCATTGTCTTCTATTAGATCTTGTGTTTTTAAATAATCTTACACTTACTTAGTACATAAATTCATCTTTTCAAGTTTATACACTTGATTTCTTCTATCACTTCTACTATTCTGACATTTGTTTTAATATTCACAGGTCGAAATCGTGAGTCGACTGAAGCTAGAGCACTATGGGGAATCTGGAAGCACTGGACGGCCGTTTCGTCCTAGTATGGGACTCCTCAGCAGTGCACATCCAAGATCCCGCACCACGCGGGGCTCGAACTTAGGACCTACTGGCTTCGCGCGCGAGCACTTAACCATTAGACCACTGAGCCGGCTGGTATCCAACGGTGTTAATGTCTAACTTCAACCAATCTATGAAGTTGCGCCACCAGGTCTGTTTTGAGATATCAGCTCACTGAAGACAATGGTATATTTATTAGCTGGCCTCAATTTTCTACTTTTTAACTCAAACTACTTATTTTAATTACAGTAGACAAATTACAAATGAATGAAATAATTGATTTTCGACTTTTCAGTAAAACAGAACATGAAATTAATTGAATAATTCATAATTAATACATGAAACTTTTCAATTCATGTTTTCTTTCTTTACATATATAATTAGATCTTTATCATAAATCTAATAAAAGATTGTTTAGAAAAATTAGAGTTCAATTAGAGAAAAATGAATGAATTAAGAATGTATAATATCGATGGAATCAAGTAGTTTTCATTTCAATGAACTTGATGTTCTACTTCAAGAATTCATTGAATACCTTCAATACAAATAGGTCTACCCATAATATTCGGAAAAATATGGAAATGAATAAGAATCTTGACAATATAATAATAATAATAATGATTAGACGAAATGCAAGAAAATGTTTTGTATTATCTCTTGTCAATGGTCATCATTATTGTCACCGTCTTTGATTATCATTGTCATCACCATCAGCATCGGTATCATCATGAACTTGATTACTTCAAGAAGGTATATTCGATTTTCTTCGTTTCTCTTCATACCATAACCAATTGATCAATGAAATAATAAGTACCAATATTAATATGACTGTATTCATTAAAGTTAATGAGTACCATGGATTATTATATGAAAAATAAGTCTACAAAGAAAGAAAACAAACAAACATATATTAATTATGAATATTAAGATAAGAGTGTTCAATCATATTGATTGTGTAGTAGTTATAGACCAATGACAATGAAGTATGGCTGGTTAAACTTAAACATTTAAACTAGCGGTTGCTGGCTAAGTAATCTAAAGGTTATACTAGAATGTTCCGGATTCTAACAGTAGAGTGATCATGGATATGAACTGTAGTAATGACTCACATTTGGATGAAACACCTGTCGAATACTTCATGATTCTCAATGTCCATTTAACTAAGATTGGTCTGTAATTATAACTATAGTACTCAATGATAACCATAGACTACCTATAGTATCCAAAAAAAGGGAAATATAAAACTTGGATAGATGTTGTTTCCCGTACATATTTAATAAGTATCTAAAATATACTTCATTTTGTGGCACTTTTTCGTATATCATATAATGACTCTTGGATTTCGGCGCGAAATTCATTCGCCATATGGCTACTGCTGCTGAGGAGTCCCATACTAGGACGAAACGACCGTCCAGTACTTCCAGGTTTTCCATGATAGTCTAGCTTCAACTGACTCATGATTTCAACCAGTGAAATTATAGTAGACGTAGATTTGTGATGTAAACCCCTAACTGTAATTCCTAACCCTGATTTCTAACTCAAAATACATATTATGAGTTTTAACACTATTTTATAGTTTTATTTTTAGACTCTAGTAGGTAGGTGAATTTTCTTTAGGTCATTTGGGGGGGGTGCTCAAATATAATTGAACTGGAAGAAACAAAGTAATCAGAAAAGGGCTTTTGTAACTATTATAGTAATTTAATGGTTGAATTCATGAGTCAATTGAAGCTAAACCACCATGGGAAACCTAGAAACACTCCTCAGTGGCAGTGCACATTCACGGTCCCGCTTCATGAGATACGAACCCAGAATCTATCAATATTGCACGCTAGCGCTTAACCACTAGACCATTGAGTCAGCTAGCATCCAACAGTGTTAATGTCTAACTTCAAACAATCCACGACATTGCTCCACCGTTCAATCAGATAAGTCCTGGGTTTGAATGTCGTGAGATGCACTGTTGAGGCAGTCCCATACTAGGATGAAACAACCATTCAATGCTTCCAAGTTTTCCATGATGGTCTAGCTTCAATTGTCTCATGAATTCAACTACTGATTATATTCTAAGCTTACAAAAAAAGAACACTTAGCCTCTTCTTTAGTTTAACATCTAAGAGAGAAATATGATACATTTAGTTTGACATCATCATTTGAATTTACCTAACAAAGAATTAATTTAATTTACAAGAACAATAGTAGATGGCTAAGTTTGTTTTTGTCTCATGTGATTCGATTCAGGCAATAGAATTATTGATGTCTAGATAGAGATTAAAAGAAACTATAGATAGAATAATAATAATAATGATTAAGAACTCCGCCTGGAGTCCCTCCGGGGGCTACTGTCGGTCCCAAGCCTGGATAAAGGAGGAGGGTTGGGCATGGAGTTAGCGTCTCCATCCCATAGAAAACTAACTCGCTAAAAAAACGCTAACCAGAAAAATAATGATTAAGATATCATATAGGGGTTGATAGAGCTTAATAGTATAGCCAAGTCATTTCATTGATCATTTTCTTACCCTGTAGCCTCTCCTCCGCCCCCCCCCACACACAACTAAGTCTCGATGAAAATTTTTAAAAAAAACGTTTGAATTCGGTTAGTAATTATTGTACATAAATAAATTGATAATACCCATAGGATTATCACTAGGGGGTAACAACATCTCAATGTAGTAATGACTTAATAATTAAAAAAAAACAATGTCTTTAACCTTAAAAGAAATGATAAACATACAATATGTGAATAGGTGAATCGGACCTATGTATAACTAATATTGCCTAGAATAAATAGCAAAACATATCATTCTATCATGATGTATGTATACAAGTCACTAGGGGATTGAAGTAAATTCATACACTACAACAGATTCAATCACAAGTGGATTATCATGTGAATAATCTAGCAACTATGATAATACAATGAACAGTTTCGGAATCAATTAGAAGATTTGGACTGCTCCGATGACGGGACTCTTCTATCTCATACACACACACACACGAACAAATGCAGATGAAGAAAACCAGTGTAGCAGAAGCTTTTGTCTGCCTCAACATATACAAGAGGAAAAAGAAAGATCTTCAAATACAAAACGGAAAAAATAGCAACACAATCACACTGGATGGAGAAGTTCTGGAAGATGTGAAATCTTTCAAGTAGTTGAGAAGCATCATCGATGAACGTGGACGATCTGATGCAGACGTAAACGTAAGGATTGGCAAAATAAGGACAGCATTTTTACAGTTGAAGAACATATGGAACTCAAAACAACTCTTAACCAACATGAAAAGTAAAAATCTACAGTATAAACGTCAAGATAGTTCTACAGTGTAAAGCTGAAACGCGAAGAGCTGCTACAACCATCATCAATAATGTATAAGTATTTATAAATAGTTGTTTACACAAGATACTCAATGTCCGTTGACATGATACCATCAGCAATAACCTACCGTGGGAGAGGACAAATCAGTTTCCAGTTGAAGGTAAAATTAGAAAGAGACGCTTGAGGTGGATGGGACATATTTTAAGGAAATCATCAAACTGTATCATGAGGCAAATGGTTCCCTGGAATCCTGAAGTGAAATGAAAAACATGAAGGCCAAAGAACACACTACACCAAGAATTTGAAGCAGACATCGATAGGATTTCTTGGGACAGAGTTGGATGGAGAATGCTGGTGAGCGGCTTATGCTCCTCGACGAGAAGTAATAGACGTACATAAGTAAATCATCATGTTAGTCTGTCTTCCCTGTGTTGTAAATTTACTACTGAACAGATTTTCATTTACATATGAGAGTGAAAGTTTACACATACCTTCCAATAGCTTTCATGGCATACATTTGTTTGTACATATGGAGAGAGAGCGAGAGAGAGTGTGTGTATATGTGTGTGTGAGACAGTTTCATTCCCTTTAGAAACTTCTCAATGTTACTTTGGTGTATGCTACTGATGTCAACAGATATAAGTAGTATGTATCATCACACAAAAGTGAAATGCCTGGTGGTAGAAGGCTAAGAAGATTGAAAAGAAAAGAACGAGAATAGAGGATGATTGATGCGGAAATGAAAGAGCAATGAAGTCCGGAATGATTGCTTGACATTTTGCAAATGAACTATTTACAGTATGGTTCTCAAATATGACTAAGGGATTCTGTAATTATATGTTCAAATACGCTTAGTTGTCCTCGCAAGTGTTTTCCTTCACTATACTACCACTTAGCTATGATCTCAATACGAAATTCGACTTTAAATGTCTGAATGAGATCAAGTCAAGTGAACCGTGAAGGGTTTTTGAATTCAAACAATGATGCATGAAATGTCATCAGGTCTTATATTGACTGAATTCGACAAGTCATTGATATTCAATGGAAATTCGAGAATAATCATTGTTCGATATGGATAAACAGGTTGTTTATCCACACTTCCGTTATGTAATATTCTTATGTCGGCTTGATTGTAAGTTGCTCGTTCATTGAACTGACTAACTATTGATAACTCTCTTAACATTCATAAATTACAGTTTGGTTAATTATATATCTTAGTAGTTGAGATCATGAGTCAATTAACGATAGAACATCATGAAAGACCTGGGAGCACTGGACGGCCATTTCGTCCTATTGTGAGACTGCCTTGGCATTACGAACCCAGGACCTATCAGTCTTGCGCGCGAGCGCTTAACGACTAGACTACTGAGCCGGCATCCAATGGTGTTAATGTCTAACTTCAAGTAATCCACAAAATTGAGCGACATATCCACCATTGTCATCAGTGAGTTACTATCTCACAACTGACTCATGATCTCAATTATTGAAATTACTATAATCTCCACAAAGCCCCTTCTGATACTAATTACATATCTGTTAAGCAGTTTCCTACCACAATCGACCTAATCATGCGATCGATCTATATAATCATGTGAATTTCCAAATCCTAAACTATAAAAAACAAATGGATTGTCTTTTCTGGTATTATAATTGCTCAGGTTGGGGACAGAAGCAATTTACAACGACCAATCAGCGTCAGAACAGGACAACTGAAGATAATTGATGTTACTGGAGGAATGAGTACTCTTCGTTAATGGACTCAGTCAATCAATAATCCTATTAAATGAGCATATAATATAGGGAGTTCACATCATTCATGTAAAAATAAGTCATTAGTAAGTATTCAGTTTGTGCTTTTCTACTTAGGTAGTTTGCATTAATCTTTATGGATCGATAGTCAAACAGACAATCAAACATGAATACACATTCACGGTAACGAATGCACGATCGTGTCAAACAAAATTAAAAGAAGCACTGGAGAGCTGGTTTGTTCTAGTATGTGACTTTTCAGAATTGCTTAGCCATGACTCCACCAAAGGTGATCAAACTCACGGTCTTCAGTTCCACATGCAAGCGATTAACCTCTTAATCACTGAGACAGCACTTAGTGATGTATATTACTAATTTCAATTAATTCACGGTATTGGCGCGACCGTATTCCACTGTCTAAGATGAATAACTGTCTCACTTGACATGGCTGAACTCTACTGATGACTCTAATTGCTGAGTCGCTCATTGATTAAAAAATCAAGTGAATTCACTATGTAAATGACAACTATTCCAATAACTAGTAATAACGATATATACTTATACTTTTACATAATAGATACTGCCTGGATGCAGTGCTACTATCAACCCTGAATTAATCATGGATAAATAGATGTAAATGTGAAAGTGCGGATCGGTAAAGCAAGAGCAGCATATTTACAATTGAAGTAAATCGATGTAAATATCACAAGATAAACAAGAAACGAATGTCTAAGTACTGTGCCAAAACGTATTAGCAACTTTTAAAGGTATATAATATGAAGTTATTCCTTTGAAGAGATCATATTGTGGTGTGAGCTACTTATATCCGCATAAGTAGTATAGAATGATAGTCAGGAATAGAGTGTATTTCAGTAGAAGATCGAGAAGGAAACAACGGGAACAGAAAGCAATTGGTATGAAAATGTAAGAACAATGAAATCTGAGACGATGGACTGATATTTGCTAAGGAAACAGTCAACTTTGAGACAATGGATTAATATTTTGCTAATGAAGTATTTACTATCTTGTACGAACACATTCGATTGTCCCCATTCGTGGTTTCGTCCACTTCATTTGGAGTCGCTACTAATCAGGAGAGGATAAGAGTGCTGTTCTTCGACCTCAGATTTTACTAAGATGTTCTGTTATGTTATGTTTGTATACATTCGGTTGTCCCCACTTATGGTCATGTTCACTACAAGATTACCAATGGAGATTGATCAAACTCACCGATTAATATAAATAACGAAGCTGTCAGTGAATTAGAACAAGTCTGAGCTTTTATTATAGGAGAGGAATAATATCAATTAAGTATGAAAAACAAGCAAACATGATAGTTTTCATGGTTGAGTTGCATATTACATTATTACAGTGAATTAATGATGACTAGTCTCTTTTTAATGAGAAAATAGTCAATATCATACGGAATTCCTATGATGGATTAAACTGCAAAATCTTGCACGGAGGACTATTGACGGACCCGTTCGATGTAAAGACCGGTGTCAGGCAAGGTTGCTTACCCTCACCCTTTCTCTTTCTCCTGGTGATCGACTGGATCTCGAAGACGTCAACATCTGGGCTAGGAGGGGAAGCATGGGATACAGTGTACAGCTAGGATGAAGCTGGACAATCCAGACTTTGCAGATGATCTGACTCTTCTATCGCACACGCAACAACAAATGTAGGAGAAGACAACCAGTGTAGCAGCAGCCTCAATAGCAGTAAGTCTCAAAGTATATAAAGTGAAAACCAAGATCCTCTGATACAACACAGCATTCACCAATCCAATCACAATTGACGGAGGGGATTTGGAAGATGTAATAACCTTTACATATGTGAGCAGTATAGTGGATCCGATGAAGATGTGAAGGCGCGGATCAGCAAAGCAAGAGCAACGTACCTACAAATGATGAACATCTGGGACTCAAAACAACTCTCAACCAATACCAAGGTCAGAATTTTCAATACAAATGTCAAGACAATTCTACCGTATGGAGCGGGAACTTGAAGAACTACGAAAGCCATCATCCAGAGTATACAACTGTTTATTAACAGTTGCCTATGCAAAATACTCCGGATTCGTTGACCAGATACTATCAGTAACAACTTACTGTCGGAGAGAACAAACCAGATCCCAGCGGAGGAAGAAATCAGGAAGTAGCACTGGGAGTTGATAGGATACACATTGAGGAAAGTATCCAACTGCGTCACAAGACAAGCTCTCACATGGAATCGTCAAGGTCAAACGACCCATTACGCCGAGAAAAGGAGACAGACATGAGAAAAATAAACAAAAATTGGAGTGGTAATAGTAGTAATAATAATAGAAGTAATTTAACCGTTGGATATATGAGTCAATTAAAACTAAATCACTATGAGAATCCTGGAATCAGTGGATGGCTGTTTTGTCCTAATAGTATAGAACTGCCTCAACAATGCACATTCACGATTCCATCTCGTACATGAGCGTTTAACCACCAGACCACTGATTCGACCAACATTCAACAATGTCATTTCTCAATCATATTAACAAAATAAATGACTTAATTCTAGTTATATAAATATCATTTCATTCCACAGTTTTCTTGAAATCATGAGTCAGTTGAAGCTAGACCACCATTGAAAACCTGGAAGCACTGGACGGCCGTTTCGTCCTGGTATGGGACACTTCAGCAGTGCGCATCCACGACCCCTTACCACGCGGGGCTCGAACCCAGGACCTACTGGCTTCGCGCGCGTGCACTTAACCATTAGACCACTGAGCCGGCATCTAACGGTGTTAATGTCTAACTTCAACCAATCCACGAAATTGCGCCACCGTACACCATTGTCTTCAGTGAGTTGTTATCTCACAACAGACCTCGTTGAACTCCACTGGTAACGGCTTCTCACTAGAACTTCAGGAGTTTTTCCTGAAGTCAGTCACTAGTGAGCAGTTGATTATTATTATTATCAGAATGGGTTTTGTGGAGAATTTTTAGAAATTTCACAGTTTCATTCATTGAACATTTTACCTCATTTAACTTATTCGATGTATTCGTTGTTGAAATGTATGAATCCATTACATTTCTATTTGAATTCAATGTAACCGGTAAACTATTCAATGTTTTTTGTTTTAATTCATTACTATTATTAATTCTATTAGTAGTGATCATAGAATGTTTATATTCATTGTAGCATATCTTTGGTATAGTTTCATATAATGTATGAGGCCAACTTATACAACGACGATGTTTATTCATGAATAATCGATCTTCTTTGATATGAAAATTACTTAATTGATTTGATTTTATTGATGATAGATTGATTTCATTCGATTGTATTGTATTATATAACCATTTCTCATTATTAGTAGTATCAGTAGTATTAGTAGTAGTATCGGTAGTGCCATAATCAATATTCATAGTATTATTATTATTACTAGTAGTAGTATTATTACTACTATTTGTAAAAATGAAATTGTTGACATCTATATCAGTAGTCAATCGTCTTCTTCTTCTTTTCATGAATATTGTTTTATCTAATGGAATAGTAGAATATTTCATGACATTATGATTTATATTAAATGGAGATAATGAACAATTTGATACAACTAATGGTTGATATGGTGATTGACGTTGTAGTAGTAGTTGTTGTTGTTGCTGTCGTTGTTGCTCCTGTTGCTTTCGTTGTTGTTCCTGTTGCTGTCGTTGTTGTGGTTGCTGTTGTTGTTGTTGCTGCTGCTGATGACGATGATGATGATGATGATGATGAGGAGGAGGAGGAGGAGGAGGAGGATAAATATGTTGAAATTGTTTGCTAGTTAAACTACATGACATATAATTTGGATATGTAGATTGTATAAATTGTTTAGGAAATTGTTTTAATGATCTTGTATACATTGAATTTCTTAAAGAAAATGGATTCATTTCTTGACTCCATAATATATTAGCATTTGTTAATGGTGTAGAAACACATTTACTTGGACATATTGAATTTGTATATACTGTAGATAATGTTGGTGTAGATAATGATGATGATGATGATGATGATGATGTTGATGTTGTTGATGATGATGATGATGATGATGAGGAGGAGGAGGAGGAGGCGGCGGAGGATGACGATGACAAGGATAATGTCAATGATGAGGTTGATGGTGATGATGATGGTCGAAATTGTTTATTATCTGTAAGTGTTCTATTCATTATATATTGATTATGATTATCTAAATTTGTTTGTTTTATTCGATTCATTTCACGGGGATCTATATATGTGGAATCTTGTATTTCATACGAAGTTCCTTGGGATGGTTTTATATATTCAACAGATGTAAATCTTCCATAATTCATTGAATGAATATCTTCATCTGTTTGATAAATATGATCATTATGTATAAATGAAGGTGAAGATAACATTTTACTGGTAGGTATTTGAGGCAAATTCTGATAGCAATTAGAATTACGTATAGTGTATAATTTCGTTTGAGATTGTGTTGAACGATCATTCATCATAATTCGTTTACCATCAGGTAATCTTTGATTTGGCAACTAGAATAAACAGAAAACATAACTTCATGAATAGCGAGTAAAGTTTCTGGAACACTGGTTTGACAGTACTTACTTACTTACTTACTCCTGTTACTCTTCGTGAAGGAGCATAGGCCGCCCACTAGCACTTTCCATTGAACATTTTACTGTACAATCCTTTCTAGCTCTTTCCAGTTGTGATTCATCCTTTTTCATATCTGCCTCTATTTCCCGACGTAATGTGTTCTTCGGCCTTCCTCTTTTCCGTTTCCCTTTACAATTCCAAGTTGAGGTATTTGTTGGACATATGGAATTTTAATTCAGTTGACAAATTTAATCCACTAACATTGTGTTTGCAAACTATTTACGATAAAAGTTATCGTGTATTCACTAGTGACTAATTACAAAAGGTAATTTGAAGAGGTATACTTAGAAGCAGTGATCAGTGAGATCGAACTACATTAAATGTAAGTCGGTTACCTACTAATGGGACTGGCAGAAAGTTGTGAAACATCACAAATTAATTGAAGTTATTAATGGGAATCACTGAACCCTTACTGAATAACCTAAGAACTAAGCCCTTACCGCGAAACCTGCTGTTTCTGGTTTCGACCCCTGAAGAGGTTTTTGGGCCCGATGAGTTCTATATTATGACTTAAAGTTGTCCAATGCTTTCTAGTTTTTAACGGCTGTCTAATTAAGTTCAATTCGCTCTACAAATCATGAAATACATCCCTTACTATAATCCGAATAATCTGAGAGCAACACTAGATCACATAAGTAAAGTTTAACTAAAGGCCTGATGCTTCAATATGTATCAATTTCCAAATAGGATAAACATACGAAACAAAGCACGAACTTTAAGTGTCTAGTCTATTGAGCTGATTGATCACAATTCTATTAACCTGTCGTTTCTATTAGTTATGTTCGTTTAACTAAACATACTATACTGATTTACTCTAGTGATCGAAAAGGTTTGACCAGTACTCAAGGAAATCAAACAAGTATGACACTGGTAATTACATTGAGTAATGCTTGTAAACATTCCTGTTATACAGGAGATCATTCTCTGATTGAGTAAATTCTCTGTAGAACAAAACAAAAACAGGTTGACAACAGAGCTTTCTTTGATAATTGTTTATGATGAAAGTCCAAATCTTACGATATCGGGGTTTTATTTTCTCGCCGGATTACACTGAATAAACACGTTGACAGACTTTATTGTGACGTAATCTCTATACGTTTCATGAGCAGTTGTTTTTCTCCAACTCAATGACGTATTTTATATATATATATATGTCCTTATCCTGACAGTTTTTTTGGTGGTGTTTTGTTCTCTGAGCTGGATGGTTTGGTCGTGGAGCTTTCATCGTTCTTCTGAACGACATCATCAGCACAAACTTCAGATAGAAGTGAAGTGTTCGAATTTCTCCATATGTGTTTCACAGCTTGTTCTGTGCACCTCGATGTTGATTGGTTCTTGTTAACCTTAAATTTATCATTGTTTACTTATTTGTTTTGGTTGTGTCTCCCATTACTTTGATTCTTGTTTGTTCTTGTTCTTGTTTGTTGGGCGACACAACCAAAACAAATAAGTAAACAATGATAAATTTAAGGTTAACAAGAACCAATCAACATCGAGGTGCACAGAACAAGCTGTGAAACACATATGGAGAAATTCGAACTCTTCACTTTTATCTTAAGTTTTTGCTGCTGATGGTGTCGTTCAGAAGAACGATGAAAGCTCCACGACCAAACCATCCAGCTCAGAGAACAAAACACCACCAAAATCATCCACCTGAGCTACAAATCTTCTCCACCATCTCAAAATTGTATTAGCGTAATATCCTGACAGTGCCTTGACGATAGCAGGAAATCTTCATGTTATGAACAAACCCATCAGTGATCGAATCCTACCAATTCAAATAATACTAAGAACACTAGACAAACATGGCATTATTCAACTACTACTCAGTTATTAATTAATGTATGTATCCATTAGTGAGATGGTGAAGATTTGTAACTCAGGTGGATAATTTTTATGGAGTGTTATTCCATCTGAGCTAGATGGTTCTTCTGAACAAAATCATCATCAGCACAAAGTTTCATCATCACACCATCTAGCTCAGAGAATAAAACACCATCAAAAAGCATCCAATAGTTCATACTTAGTACTTACCAATGATCCATATCGTTCCAACGAGTGATGATGACCCCTTGGAATTATAGACTGTTTATATAAAGTTGCACTATCTTCATAAACATTATCGTCATCATCTATATCATCAGTAGGATTGATAATAACCGGACGTACATTTTCATTCACATCATCATTATCATCACCATCATGATGTCCGTCATCAGTAGCGTAAACTGTCGGTAATTGATATTGATTAACATCATATGAATTTGTATTATCCCATTGATTATTATCTAATGGATTAATATGTCGTAATAAATATAATTTCTTTAAATCCATAGGAGATTCTCTTATATGAATCGGATCTGATTCATTCATTGTTGAATCAATATTGATTGATTGATCATAAGGTGTTGATTGAATTGTTGTTGAACTTAATTCTGACTTTTCACTGATACATTCAACATCTGGTACAATTCCATCAACAGTATCATCTAATGGATATGAATGAATCGATTTAGTGATTGGTTGTATTGATGATAATTGAGATTGTGGTATATTGAATTGTTTACTATCCATCTTTGAATAACTTGTATAATTCTCTGGTATCCAATAATGTGGATGAATATGAGATTTGAGTTGTTTAGAGACTTCAGTATGATAGGGACTGTAATAAATAGAAAAGAATGTAGACATGTATTTAATGAAGAATATCTATGGGGATATTCATTAGAAAATGTTCATTTTAAAATAACTTATTAAAATCTTACTTTTGAAGATTCAGAAAACTCCTCGAAACGAAAGTCACTTAATTACTTACGCCTGTTACACCTCGTGAAGGAGCAAAGGCCGCTCATCAGCATTCTCCATCCAACCCTGTCCTGGAAAATCCTTTCTAGCTCCTCCCAGTTGTTATTCATCCTTTTCATATCTACTTCTATTTCTCGACGTAATATGTTTTTTGACCTTCCTCTTTTCCGTTTCCTTTCAGGATTCCAAGTTAGGGCTTGCCTCGTGATGCAGTTTGACGATTTGCGTAATGTATGTCCTATCCATTTCCATCATGTTTTCTTAATTTCTTCTTCATCTGGAAATTGGTTTGTTCTCTCCCACAAAACGCTGTTGCTGATGGAATCCGGTCAATGGATGTTGAGTATCTTTCGTAGACAACTATTTATAAATACTTGTATCTTCTTGATGATGGTTGTAGTAGTTCTCCAAGTTTCAGCTCCGTATAGTAGAACTGCCTTGACGTTGGTATTGAAGATTCTGAATTTGGTATTGGTTGAAACGAAAGTCAAGTAAGGCTTTAAAAACACTGTGAAACATCTTATCCAACCTGTGTTCATTAGCAATGTTGCCAGAAACATTCTAGAGAGTGAAACGTCATATGTTGAGTTTCAGGTTGGTTGATTAGTAGCATACCAGAATTTTCTGGAAACTGAAGGATATCTAAAATATTATTTAATAAAAACTCTAGATTTTCTGTACATAAAGGAATCTTTGGAGTGAAGCGTTTCTTCCATAACTCATGGCTTTTCTCTTATGTTCAAGTTGCTGTGTAGATCTAGCCTCGAGGGGGGAGGCACAAGAAGAGCTTAGGAACCGAATCTAGCATTCGATTTGTAGACTTATGAAGAATTTAAATGTATATGATAGTTGCTTCGTACTTATTCCTAAGGTTTTGAAATAATGGAGAATGGATGGATGATTTACAGTTTATGTTGTATATTTTGAGTTAGTTGATTTATGAATTAGTTTTAAAATTATTCCACCATATCTGTATAAAGTATGAATTGATGATATTGTCCAGAATGAAAATGAAACTTTCATAATTAAAACAGCCGACTAAAAGCAGAAACTTACTTACTTACGCCTATTACTCCCATTGGAGTAGAGACCGCCGACCAACTCCACCGGGAACCCCTCCGGAGCTACTGCCGGTCCGAAGCCCAGATGACGGAGGATGGTTGGAAACGGGGTTAGTAACCCTATCCTGTAGGAGGCTATCTCGCCAAAAATATGCTGACCAGAAGAAAATAATTCAAACCATTTAAACTCCGCCTTGGGAGTTGGAAGAGTTATGACGACTGATGATGAAAGCCCAGTTCCCTCATAAGTCACGAGGCTGATGCCTCTTCTGACAATCAGAGCAACCATTATAGAAGGGAACATTTACAATATTTCGATTACTCTTTAGAAATCTTCATTGAAAAACTCAAATAATAGATCTCACTCACAATGATCATTATAAAATGGTACATAAGTTATCTATTCTCTAGTAATATTGTAGTAGTGAACGAGAATATAAGTAGGAACAATCGAATGTGTTTAAATATAAAATTGGAAAATGTCAATCAATCGTCTCAGACTTTACTGTTCCTTCATTTCCATATCACAATCATTCTCTGTTCTCATTCTCTTTACTTTGATCTTCTTAACCTTTTGATGTCATCAGGCATTTCACTTTCTATTGATGATACATACTACTTACATCAGTTCTAATGAAACTCTGTTAAAATTCTAAATCAATAAAAGTTGATTTTTTTAAAACAACTTTATTACGATCGTGAATATGCATCATTCAGAAGTTGGTTGCCTAGTAGAATGAAAACGTTAACCAAAGTTTATTGAGTTCAATTGAGAATAATCTACGACTAATAATATAAACTACAAATATTTAGTTGAAGTTAGACATTAACACCGTTGGAGGCCAGATCAATGGTCTAATCGATTAAGCGCCTGGCGTGAGACTGATAGATTCTGGGTTGGAATCCCGCGAGGCGTGGTTGTGGATGCGCACTGTTGAGGAGTTTCACGATAGGACGAAACGGCTGTCTAGTGCTTCCAGGTTTTCCATGGTGGTTTTCATGGTCTCAACTGTTTAAATTACAAATGTTTTATCAACAATTAAGCATGATTTAATAATCAGCGTATAAATTTCTCCCCCCCTCTTTTCTCTCTCCCGCTCTCGCTCTCTCTCTCTCTCTGTCAGAGAAAATTATGCAAACAGTTACAAATGTAAATGAGGTGTGTGTATGTGTGTTTACCTTAAGACGATCGCTTTAGGCAACTACATCTTATGGTTTCTCCTTTGAGACGTCTCTCTATTTGTCTGTCTATCTTTCATTATATTTACGTTAGTTTACTTTCATATGTTTGAGAGTTGGGATTGTTAGCATATAGTGTATAGTATTAGTCTATGACAATGTATGTATGATGTACAATGTATATCTGTACTTCGAACTGAATAGAAAGATTAGATTTAATCCAAAGGTGTTTCAATTTATTTATTCTTATTTCATTTTGTATAACTTTGGCTGTTCTTATTTGATTGTTTATTCTCTTGAGACTTTAAGTATTGCTAAACAAATATACACATTCAATTATTTGCTTGTATCTTCTGATTGATGTTTAGGACTACAATTGATTAATCTATTGTTGGCATATATACATCCTGTCCGTATTGCCTTGATATTGACTTAATTTCATAAGTATTATAAGTAAAGATAGATAGTGGTTAGCAGTGGAATCTAGGACGCACGTTTCGTCCTAGTTGGAACTCGTCACCTGGATGTACCTGCATCTCAGAGTTGATAATCACTCTAGGATTCGAACCAAGTATGCTACCGTTTGGTTCAAACTCCACGTACTTTTTAAATCCTGATAGCCTCTTTCTTGTGCAATGAAGTGAAGTTTAGATTCAATTGGTATTGTTTACTTGAACCTTCTCATTGATGCTAAGGACTGTAATTGATCAGTCTCTTGTTGGCATATATGCATCCTGTCCGTATTGCCTTGATATTGACTTAATTCATAAGTATTATAAGTAAAGATGGATAGTGGCTAGCAGTCGAATCCAGGACTGGATAATGTGATGGCGTTTGAGGCGGATAGTACTGGATTCCAGTATCGAAGTGAACATCAACTCTGAGATGCATGTACGTTCAGCTGATGAGTCCAGATGGAACGAAACATTCGTCCAGGATTCCACTGCTAGCCATCATCCATCTTTGTCTACATATATATATGCTTAAAATGCATATAACCTAAAAGAGACTGATCAATTAACAGAGTCCTTAACATCAGCAGTTGGAAGATTGTAACTGTGATAAGAAAAATGAATCTTTTTAAACAGAAGGTAATATGTACACTAATTAATGATTCCAGTAACAATATCGATTATTTTAGATAACTTCATGTTACTTTTTAATCTGTGTATTATCTGCCATTTAACTAAATTCATTCTGTACCAGCTAATATCATTAGCCATTTTTATACTACTAACTAGAATCATTAAAAGTATTATCAATGTTCTATAATGGACAGATATTCAATAGTTGAAATCATGAGTCAATTGAAGCTAGATCACCATGGAAAACTTGGAAGCACTGGATGATTGTTTCATCATAGTATGGAACTGCCTCAGCAGTGTGCTATCCACGATGCCGGCCCCCGCGAAATTCGAACTCAGGACCTATCAGTCTTGCGCGTGAGCTCTTAACCATTAGACCAGTGATCCGACATCCAACGATGTTAATGTCTAACTTCAACCAATCCACAAAAATAATAGATTTTCATCATAAAATAGTTATCAATCTCAACTGTAATCTGTAATTGATGCATCTTTCATTTAAATGTTTAGACATAGACTTCTTCGTTCAAGTTCCTAGTAGTTTATTATTGAAATTTAAAGTAAAAGAAATCAAATAGTAGAAGATATGAAGGTAGTTTATGTATGGAAAACAAGGTTATTTATGTATGACCTCAGGAGAGTTCAGACGCTTCTGAAAGGTAAGATAAATTGTGTATTACAATTAGAAATGTCTCATTGCAAATTATTGCCCTCAAATGCTATGGTACGGTCAATGGTGAGGAAAGTTAGTTCTCTCTCTCCAAATGCTCTCAAATGACCATGCGTATACAGCTATTGTCAGAGAAGTCGTACTTACTGCCTTCTTTCTTACCTAAATAAGAGAATGAAAAGCCAATGTCCGGTGCTTTAGCCGGGTTGGTAGATATACAGTTCTATCAATGGTAGTTGAAAATCTCTGATTCCAAACTAATCGTACACACGGACTCGAGGATCCTAAGAGAACAAACGGTGTATGGACCTATTGTTGGACACCATCTTCCATTGGACTGCATCTCCTTATGTTGTTCCATTGCCTTGTGGATTAGACCTTTAGCTCGAGGCCTCCAAGTAAGGTCTCCTAAGAAAACCACTCAAGCAGTATCACAACCCACATACAAATCCACTGACTTGTGTGACCTATATGTATTCGATGTCCCTTTATCTCAATATTTATATGTTCAAATAAATAAAATTTCAACATTAATTATTCATACAAATCAATGGATTTCTAAAAGTAAGTAAGCAAATAAGTAGTAAATAAGTAAGTAGGTAGGTAAGTAGGTAGGTAAGTAGGTAAGTAGGTAATTAATCAATTAGGTAAATGAGTAAGAAGTGGTGGGTATAAACTCTGGAATGAAAGTTTACGAATCAAAAGTTCAGTACTCTTCTAGTAACGACGGATTTCTCGGAGTGCGATGGTTCCAGGTCTGTACCTATATGACTTCTTCACGTTCCCCGGTAGCTGGGGCACTTTTGTGTGCAACCTTGATGGCTAGCTACTTTCGAGGTGCTTTACCACCTGTTGATTTGTGAGCAGTCTGTTTGGTTCGTGCCATTCCAAAATACCGATCTAAGTAAGTAAGTGATTAGGTAAGTGAGTAAGTAGGTGGACATTCGCTTTTCGTCCTCCCATTTTCGTAAACAACACCCCCGCCACGAGAAGGCAGTGAATAGGACTTCCCTGACAGAGGCTATATACGTGTGGCCATGTGAGAGAGTATTTCAAGAGGGAGAGCGGACTCTCTCCACTCTCGACCATATCAGGGCATTTGGAAGCAAACTAAAATGAACTAACTAACTAACTTACCTATATGATCGATGAGATCGTTTAGGACTTGTTGATAATTTACGTCGTGCTATAATAATATGTCGTTTATTGAATTGTGAAATCTCTTCATGATTGATAGGAATTTTTAATTTTTTCACTTTTGGTGATACATTTGTAAAATAATAATTTGATGATTGAATGATACATTTTTTCGAATTTAATCTTTGATTATAATCCATTTGATCAGATCTCATAATGATTGATTGTAATGTAGGTTTATATAAAATTGTTGTTGGTTTATTCATATTCATAGATGATTCTTGAATAGAATAAGTTTCATATGGATCTATAGATAAATAACCAGAATCTTGTGTTGAATTCATACTTAATTTAGGTGGATGTGATGAATTTGATTGAATATTGATTTTATTCTGATTAATTTGATTGGATACATTCATTGATTGTGATAATTTACATAGTTGTATTGATTGTACTTTTTTTTCTTTTTTGTTCTCGTTTCCGTCGTGGTCGTCGCCGTCGTCGTGGTCGTGGTCGTGGTCGTGGTGTCGTCGCCATCGTGTTCTTCTTCTTCTTCTTCCTCTTCTTCGATTTGTTGTTGTTTTAAATTTGATTGTAATTGATTAACCGATGATATTTCATGATTATTTTGTTTATTCATCAATTCATTCGATAATAAAGAAGGTTTTGGTATATGAGTTAATGTAATAGAAGTATTATTAGGTAGAGTAGTTGATAAATGGATTGGAGATAATGTTTTTTTAATATGTTGATTAGGTAATAAAGTATATCCTTCAGAAGTATACGATTTTGTATAAGAAGTTAAATGATTCAATGGTTGTTGATACTGTTGTCGATATGATGATATATTAACCTGTTAAAGATAGATAATAATAATAATAATAAGGTTATAGAAATGAAGACGTCAACATCTGGGCGGCGGGAAGAAGCGTGGAATGCAGTGAACAGTTAGAATGCATTATAAGCAAAAATAGATAGTAGCTAGCAGTGGAATTCAGTTCGACGTGCGTTTCGTCCTGTTTGGGACTCGTCAGCTGGATGTACCTGCATCTTAGAGTTGATGTTCACTCTGATCAGACTAATCAATTTCAGTCCTAAAACATCAATGGTAAGATTCAAGTAAAACAATACCAAGTGAGTTAGGATGCAGCTCGACAATCTAGACTTTGCAGATGATCTGACTCTTTTATCGCACATGTAACAACAATTTACAGCAGAAGACGATCAGTGTAGTAGGAGCCACAGCAGTAGTAGGTCTTTATTTTTACATGGTTAGGGATATTAAATTCCCAGAAATTACTTGATAAGAGTTTTTATTTTTGTAATTTTATTTTACACTGCTGAGGAGTCCAATGTTAGGACGAAACGGTCGTCCAGTGCTTTCAGGTTTTCCATGGTGATATAGCTTCAAATGATTCATGATTTCAATCAGTGAAATTTTGGATTTCTTATTTTTGTATGAAAATTGCCCATTTTTACCTTCAGATTGTATTTCCCACTTAGAAGGACCTTAAATATCATTGGTTGGCTTCCTTTTTTTAATATGCTATTTTATGACCTTTCCCAAGGACATTTTCATACTGTATATATACACTTGAATTGTGTGGTTGTTCGTTTGTGCTTCCTACTGTTTGTGAAATATACTTTCTCCTTGGCTAGATTTGTCTCCTTTCTTTAGCTAGAAGAGCTGAAGCATATTGGAATAGTTTAACTTGTCCTATTTTTGTGTTTCTGACTTTGTTCCATTCACCAGTTTAAGTGAAATCTAAATCTCTTTAATTGTAGCACAATAATATTTCGAGTGTTGAAAATGATGAATATATTAACAATTGGACTGAATATTTTTGATAAGCTAAGCAAGATAGACTAGACTATATGCCTTATAAGCAAAGATGGATAGTGGCTAGCAGTGGAATTCAGTTCGACGTGCGTTTCGTCCTGTTTGGGACTCGTCAGCTGGATGTACCTGCATCTCAGAGTTGATGTTCACTCTGGGACTCGAACTGAGTACCGTTCACTTCAAACGCCATCGCGTTATCCACATAGGTACTGAGTCCAAAAAACATCAATGGGAAGATTCAAGTAAAACAATATCAAGTGAATTAGACTATATGCCGTTACCAAAATAAGATTGAAATGTAACGATGAATGGATCCCTATAGGTGATTGAATCATTCATCTAGGCAAGATGATCACTAAGAAGTCTCTGTCTATTTATCTATCTGGGCAGTAATAAATACAAAAGAGTTGAGTAAATCACTATTCAACTTTCAACAATAAGGATTCTTGACAAGCTATAGTTATTTCTTTTTCCATAGTCAACTGGTTAAATATTTGGATGTATTCATTTATAACTGAATCAGATCATTCAACAAAACAATGTTTGGCCCAGTTATGAGAATCAACGGAAGTCAAAAATTAATATTGGCATTGTAGAGATGATTAAATGTTTGATTGAGATCATGATCCTGTAAGTCAGTCAGTCAGTCAGTAACAACGTAGAACTTCGTACGTACGTACATCAGTTCGAGTTGCCACACCACATTAGCACAGAGATGCACTTGTCGATTCAAATCCCGTAGTGGTAGAGGTAATAAGAGTATAAGCAGTAATCGGGAAGATTAGGGTTTGGAGATGTTATTTAAAGAGTATAATCCAGTGAAAGAAATTTGGAAAGAGGAAAAAAGGGACATGAAGAATTCAGAAGATTAGAATTTGGGAGAACACAGAGAGTGGATGCACCTTCGCCATTGCAAACGATTTTGAGCCATGTCATTCAGGGTCTCTAACCATCGGTTGCTGTCATCTCGCGGTCCCCAACCAGGTAAGTAGTCTACACCTACCAACATGACTCAGTTCACTTGTCAGTGACTTCATGGACTTGTGCCATGTTTTGGTTTGGCCGCCCCTAGCTTTCTTCCAACCTACTTCTATACCACTGAACATAGCACGTCGAGGCAGTCGGTCGTTGGGCATACGTAACACGTGTCCCAGCCATCTCAACTGATGAAGTTTCACTACGTCATCAATTGATTTGCCATCCTTACCTAGTACCCGTTTCCTAACAACTGTGTTACTTACTCGATGGTTCCATGATATACGAGCAATGTTTCGAAGACACCTATGATCAAATACTAGTAACCTACGGATATCCTCTACTCTTACCGGCCATGTTTCGTGGATGTGCACTGCTAAGGATTCCCACAATGGTCATCTAGTACTTTTAGGTTTTCATTGATGGTCTAACATCTATCGATTCATGATCTTAATCAAAAGTCAACTATATATTCTAAAATAACCATATTCTATGCATTAAACTAAACAATCATTACTTACCATACTATTCATATAAGGTTCTATTGATGTTTTACATATATCTATAATATCACCAGTGGATGAACTCATTTGTTTTGTTAACATTTCATTAGTTCTTTCTATTGGTATAGTTTTTTGTTCTACATCTTCATTAGAAACTTCTTTTAATGGTGATATTATTCTATCATTAGGTGAATAACTTCGTGTTATACCTTTAACATTTAATAATGTTTCATTCATAAATGTTTTATGAGGTGCAGAAAATGGACGAATACATTCATCAGTTATTGTTATTGTTGTTCCTGTTGTTCTTGTTCCTATTGTTGTTGTTGCTGTTGTCGTTAATGATGATGATGATGATGCCGATGGTGGTGGTGACACGGTAACATTCAGTAATTCATTACTCTTTGTCATTGGTTTTACAGATCGATGTAATTGTGGATTATTCAAATTTGCAAAACATTCAAATATATCCATAGATGTTTCATCGATATGATCCATTGAATTTGGTGTAGAGTCACGTGATAAGAATTTTTGAAAGAATTTACGTCTTTTTTGTGGATATTGCTGTCGTTGCTGTTGTTGTTGTTGTTGTTGTTGTTGTTGTTTCAATTCTTGTATATTTGTTAATGAATATGTAGAAGGTTTAATCATTGAATATAATTGTAATTGTTGAGGATATTGTCGTTGTAAACGATCATGAATAAATGGTTGATTTGTTGAACTATTCATTAAATGAGATGTCATATCTTCTATTTTTAATATTGGAGAAGAAGATGAATAAGATTGATTTATTGGGAAATTTGAAGAAGTTGGCAAATGATTCATAGAATTATTAGATGAATATAATCTTGAAGATTTTATTTCATTAGAAGAATCATCAATCATGATTTCATATTGACATTTTTTTCTCCATTCAATTCCTTGTGGTTGGATTTTGAGAAAAGTAATAATCAAATATGATCACATTCATATATATGACAAGTATGAAAACATAATGAGATAGGTTAGTAATCATGTTTTTCATCAACTGAGATGGTTGAGCCATGTGTTGCATATGCCTGAACACCGATTACCACGACGTGCAATGCTGACTAGTGTTGAAGATGGTTGGAAGAAAGTTAGGGGCGGCCAAACCAAAATGTGGCATCAGTGCTTGAAGTCACTAACTTCTGGTCTGAGCCATGTTGGTAGATACAGACTACTTGGTTGGAGTCCGCGTGACTACCGTAATCAATGGTTGGAGACTGTAGGTGACATGGCTCAGAATCGATCACAGTGGCGTCGGTGTATACAATCTCTATCTCCTCTTAAACTGTGAAATTAAAATTGCTTTATATTTTTCTTTCTATGAATGTTGGGGACGTTAGATCCCCCAGAACTCAATTAGGAAAGGACCTAATTTTGTAATTTTATTTAGAACATTTGAATTTCTTTATTTTCGCGCCAAAGGCGCTCTTGTCACCTTCATGGTGTATTTCCCACTGGGAAATATCTTAAATCCTATTGGTTTGTTGCGTCTTTTAGTATGCTATTTGGTAACTCTCCTCAAGGACGGTTTTGTGATCGCTCGTTTCTGGTTGTTTGCAGAATGTACTTCCTTACTCCAAGCTTGGACTTCTCCCTCTAGTTAGCGGGGCTGGGATGCATCACTAGCTAGCTTACTGGTCCTTGGTCACCGAGTCTTGTTTCTCGTTCGCAGATTAAGTGAACTCGTGATAGCTTTAACCCAAGCAATGAACTAATTCTTTCTTCCTGTACTACATCCTTATATTCAATCTTTCTTTTATATATTACCACCATTGAAGAGACTACTTCTATGAATTTGGTGTTCAACTTGTTGTACTAATGAGATATGGTAACTTGAACCGATGCATATATGTGCTTGATCCTACATTTTAGCTGATTGGTTGAGTGACAGTGTGTATACGTTTATTTACCTAAACCTTGGCATTTTATCTTCGTACAAGATCGAATGTTTTGAAAAACACTTGTTGTTTACTTATGTGACGCGTTTACACTCAACTATTTGACCAACTATCAAGAACACCATATGACCAGAACGAGGTATATTGTGACGAAATACAGAGGCAGATATATATAAACCATTGTCCAGAAGATACAAGTGTTTATTAAAAGTTGCCTATACAAAATACTTCGGATCCGCTGGTCAGACACTATCAGCAACGACCTAATATAGGAGGGAACAAACCAGATTCTAGCAAAGGAAGAAATCGGGAAGAACCACTGGTAGTGGATAGGACACGCATTGAGAAAGCACCTAAATGCATCACAAGGCAAGTCCTCACTTGGAACCCTCAATTCCAAAGGCGAAGAGGAAGGCCAGAGAACACACTACACTGAGAAATGGAGATAGACACGAGAAGAATGAACAACAATTGGATAGAACTAAAAAAGATGGCGGAGGACACAGTGGGTTGGAAAATGCTGGTCGGCGGCCTATACTCTACTGTGAGTAACAGGCGTAAGTAAGTAATAAATATATAACATTATAAATACTAACTAACATATCTGTCTGTTTGTACTCAGTGACCAATCACGGCTTGTTTCCCATCAGAGATCCATCAAAATTCTACCAACCAGCTGTTTAGACGATGTATCTGGCTGGAGATTTGAGATCAGTTAGTAAGTGGTTGCAAGTCAAATGCTTCAAACATGAAGTCCTAGATCCGCAGTAGAATAGTGCCGACAACTTGAATGGTAAATAATATTTTAAGCTTATGTAAGGATATGATTCTGAAGGTGTAGGGTTCTATAATAATTTATCTAACATAATGCCCCCAAATGCCCTGGAATGGTCGAGAGTGGGGAGAGTTCGCTCTCCCTCTCGAAATACTCTCACACGGCCACGCGTATGCAGCCTCTGACAGGGAAGTCCTACTCACTGCCTTCTCGTGGCGGGTGTTGTTTACGAAAATGGGAGGACGAAAAGTGAATGTCCGGCGCTTTAACCGGATCCCGAACCAATGGTGCACATGGGCTCCAGTATCCTGTGGGAACAAATGGCGTATGAACCAATTGTTGGTCACTGGCTTCCATGGGACTGCATCTCCTTACGATGCTCCACTGCCTTGTGGGTTAGACCTTCAGGTCGAAGGCTCGAGGAGTGGCCTCCTAAGAAAACCACCTGCTTCAGTCTGGGCACCCGGGCAGTATCACAGCCCACACATAAATATAATGATGATGAAAATGTGTGGCGCATACATATATGGTGCTCTCTTTTATCAATATTTATGTGTTTAAATAAATAAATATCTAACATAATATATGGTAATATAAATAGATAATAACTTAATATTATGCAACAGTTTACCTGGTTGATGAAATTTCGGTTCTAATTGAAATGCTAATTCTCTTGCTTGATTGGATAAATGCAATGCTTTCTGTATCATAGACATGGCTAAATCAGATGCTTTACGAGCTTTCAATGCACTAAAACACAAATGAATTTAGTAAAACAATAATAAGAATAACACATAAACATTAGTACAAGAAGGTATCAAATATAAATATGAGCCACATAAATCATTCGATTTGTGTGAGGGCTGGAATACTGTCAGGGTGCCCAAACCGAAGCAGGTGGTTTACCTAGGCGGCCATACTCCGAGACTTTGACCTAAAGTTCTAATCTGCAAGGAAGTGGAGCAACGTAAGGAGATGCAGTCCCATGGTCGTCGGTGACCAACGATTGATCCATACATTTTTGGTAATTTCAGGATTCTGGAGCCCATATCCACCATTGGTTTGGAATCACGAAATTTCCAACTCCTTTATATCTATTAACATTGTTAAAGCATCAGACATTCGCTCTTTGTTCTCTCAGTTTCTTAAACAACAGTAATGCTGCGAGAAGGCAGCGAGTACGACTTCTCTGACAATAGCTGTATACTCGTGGTCATGTGAGAGCATTTGGAGAGAGAGAGAGAGAGATTTGATCCACCCTACTCTCTGTCGTATCAGGGCATTTGGGGGCAATGTCCATCAAACGTAACATGCTTGCATTGAATCTTGAAGACTGGAGAATCAAATACAAGCAAGAATCCCGACAAAGATGGAAAAAATTCTAAACTATTCTAGAATAAATTATTTATTACACGATATCTTTACATTAGATCTCATTCAATTCATTGACTATTGGCATATATGTTTAACTATTCTTGTATTTTGTTGAGGATGTTAGATTCTCAGAACTCACTTAGTAAATGTCTTGTTTTTGTAATTCTATTTTAAAAATTTGTATTTCTTGTTTTCGCGCCAAAAACACCCTTTTTTCACTTTCATATCGTATTATCCACTTACTTACTTACTTACTTACATACATACATACATACTTACTTACTTACGCCTGTTACTCCTAATGGAGCATAGGCCGCCGACCAGCATTCTCCAACCCTATCTCTCCTCCGCCTTCCTTTCCAGTTCTGTCCAATTTTTGTTCATTTTTCTCATGTCTATTTCCATTTCTCGGTGTAATGTGTTCTTTGGTCTTCCTCCCCACCCGCATTGGTCTTGAGGATTCCATATGAAAGCTTGTCTTGTGACGCAGTTGGGTGCTATCCTCAATGTGTGTCCTATCCACTTCCAGCGCTTCTTCCTGATTTCATCCTCCGCTGGAACCTGGTTTGTTCTCTTCCACAGTTGGTTGTTGCTAATAGTGTCCGGCCAACGGATCTGAAGTATTTTGCGTAGACAACTGTTAATAAACACCTGTATTTTCTGGATGATGGCTTTTGCAGTTCTCCAAGTTTCCAGCCCATACATTAGAACTGTTTTGACATTTGTATTGAAAATCCTGACCTTGGTGTTGGTTGACATTTGCTTTGAGTTCCAGATGTTCCTCAATTGTAAATATGCTGCTCTTGCTTTGCCGATCCGCGCCTTCACATCTGCATCAGATCCACCCATTTTGAGGACCATAAATGCTGTTGGTTCGTTGTCTCTTTTAATATGATTTTGTGTAATGTTTCTCAATGACATTTTTGTGTTGTATATATTTATACGCTTGAGTTGTGCTTATTGTGGTTGATGTTCATGATTCAGGCTGTTTGTAGAATATAATTCCCTCTTCCGAACTTAAAGTCCTCCCTCTAGTTTTCGGAGCTGGGATACGTTGGAACAGCTAGATTATTGATCATTATATCACAGAATTTTCGTTCCGTTCTCAGACGGGGTGAACTCGTAATCCTTTGTTTTTCGTCTCATAAACATAAGTTTTCCATTCGAATTTCTCTTGAGCCGACTCTTTTATGAATTTTAAAGAGGTTTCTGGTGAACCGAAGTAACCAGAATGACCTAGATAGTCCAAGATTGAGCTTTTGATTGACTTCTGTAATCTCTTAGAAGGCTAGGGAGGATAATGCTCAGAGATGTTTTTTATTGCTTTGTATTCAGGTCGATATTGTCTGTAAAATAACTGATTGATGTAAATTCACTAGAGCGCGATGATCAGTCAGTTATCGATTTATTCACAAAAGATATTTGTAAGACAATATTGTGGAAAGATTTCTGTGAGAACAGCTGACAGGCGAACTCCAGAAAGCTCTAAGAAGCCCAGAAAGAACCGAAGACACTTCATCCAATCATCTTTTGGAAGAATACTCCAGAATCCTTACATGTAGCTTCCCTATTGGACAAATGCTAATAACCCTGTGTACGTGAATTGAATCTCTATAATGCTGATTACGTTTTTACTAAAAACTATGAATACCTAACAGCTTTGTATCATAAATGACATTGTTTGAAGTAGCATTCTTTTCACTTATCTTCTGTCTTCTTATATGCAATATGGAGGGTTCTAGCGTCCGACTGCTCAAGTTATACGTGGTATATTAAGAATCGAAGCTCTAGACATAACAATTTCTTATTCGATAAAGTTTTATTCAGAAATCAATTTTCAAGTAAGATTGATGTTAACTCCAAAAAAAAATCGTGTCTTTTACTATTATTCTCATTAAAACTTGAATTCATGAATGATCATATACCCATCTCTTCATGTTCCCAATATGCAAAGTTCTCAACAGAGAGCAATACTGCAAAGACATAAAAGGGACATAAATGTCAAATAGTTCAAGAGTTGAAGAACTTTACTTATGAGAGTTGTTGTGACTTTATGTCCGGCTTTTTATCCACCAATCAAAATACGACATATACAATCTTAGCACTGTGCCAAACCAATAACGTTCGACCGGTATGGGCAGCCCAGCATCCTTATTGGTCCTATGTCCACTTAGCCCGTCCACTTGAGTCCAGAACACCAATACCAGCTTCTACTATGCGAATCGAAACGAATCGTTTATTTCAGACATACTGGGCTTATATATCAATCAAACAGACCGCAACGCACCATAAAATAGAAAATAACATTTGTACACAATAAAGCCAAAAAGTGGCTGTGAACGTGGGAGGTAATGGTTAATGAACTGAACATAGTTTAAGAACCGTAAATCGTACAATAATAATATATAAGTCAAAGTAAAGCTTATAACAAGGGGAATATAGATAAACATTATCTAGTTACGGAATATTTATACCATGAGAATATATAGATAAGATTAGTCCATTAATAGGTCTCAAACGTTACTCGTAATTCGATCTTCACCAAGACATAACAAGAATATTTTAGTATAGTTTAAACAAATATCCTGGGTTCGAATCTCGTGCACTGCTAAGGAGTCCCACAATAGGATGGAACGACCGTCCAGTGCTTCCAGGCTTTTTATGGTGGTCCAGCTTCAATTGACTCATGATCTCAACTATTGAAATTACTAAAATATCCACAAAAACCCTTTTGATGATACTCAACATATGCTCACTAGTGACTGACTTCAAGAGGTATTTACTGGATTTCTAATAAGAAGCAGTGACCAGTGGAGTTCAACCGGGTCTGTTGTGAGATAGTAACTCACTGATGACAATAGTGGATGTGTTACTCAATCTCGTAGATTAGTTGAAGTTAGACATTCACACCATTGGATCCCATTCAGTTCAGTGGCCTAATGGTTAAGCGCTCTCATGCGAAACCGATAGTTCATCGGTTTGAATCTTCCAACGCAGGATCATCGATGTGTACTACTAAGGAGTCCCACAATATCATGAAACGACCATCCAATGCTTCCAAGTTTTCCAATGATGATCTAGTTTTAATTAACTCATCATCTTAACCCTATCTTATATTAGAAACAAATGATCATATACTACTTACTTTTCTTTTGCTTCTTCTAATGCTATTAATTTCGCTTGTTTTGCTGCAATTTCAGCACGTATTAATGCATATTCAACACATTCTTTTAATTTTGTTTGACGTACTAAATGTAATTTATTTTTACGATTAATTTTATTAATTAATTGATTCGCTTGAAATTGTCCTTCATCACGTGTACCATTTGGATTAATTAATAGACCATAACCATGTTTTTGATTACGTATCCATTCACCAATATATATTATACCATTAGAACGTTCTGATATACCATAACCAGAACGTTGATCTTGAAACCATTCACCAGAATATATTTCTATTACACTAATATATTGATTATTAGTATTATTTGATTGAAAATCAATAATATAATCAATATTTTTTTGTATTTTTTCTTTATTTGTTGTATTATTTCCATGTGTATCATTTAGATTACTTAATGGATTATTCATAGTAGTATTAGTAGTAGTAGGAGTAGTAGTATTGTCATTAGTAGTAGTAGTAGTATTGTTATAAGTAGTATTAGTATTAGTAGTAGTAGGAGTAGTAGGAGTAGTATTAGTACTATTTATTGACCGACCTAATTCAATCGCTGAATGTTGTTTTTTTAATCGACGCATAATTGCTCTACCAATTACAGCTTTACGACTTACGGATAAAGTTTCTTTGAATGGTAAATTTATATTAGAACTATGATGTTTATCATTAGATTTAAGTGATTGATTAATGATATGAATGTTTTTCATTTGATCTAATTCATTTAGATATTCTGTTTTTGTAATCGGTATCTTTGTTGTTGTTGTTGTTGTTGTTGTTGTGGTGGTGGTGGTGGTGGTACAGGTGGTGGTGGTGATGGTGATGGTGGTGGTGATGGTGGTAATAGGATTAGTAGTAGTAGTTATTGTTTCCGTGTTTATAGTAGTATTTGGTGAATTATCTGATAATGTTGTATTAGTTTTATAACTAATAAATGATTTACGAACACCTAAACCATGACGAAATCCTTTTGACCAAGCACCAGCATATATACCTATAATAGAGAAAAGAATTTAAAAAGACATTAAGAAAATAAACAAACAAAAGAATTTTATCTGGAAAAAGGAAGAAAATAAATAAATCAGTATTAGAAGGGGGGTTTTATAGAGATTTTAGGAATCTAATAGTTGATTTCATGAGTTAATTCAAGGTAGATCACTATGGAAAACCTGGAAGCACTGGACGGACGTTTCGTCTTAGTATGGGACTCTTCAGCAGTACGCGTCAATGATTCCACCCACGGTATTCGAACCTTCAACTAATCCATGAAATTGCGCCACCATGCATCATTATCTTCAATAAGTTATTATCTCACTTCTATCTTCCCATTGTTATTTAGGACTGCAATTGATCAGTGTCTTGTTGACATCTGTATATCCTGTGCGGATTTACTCGATATAGCCTTTAGTCACAAGCTTTTTAAGTAAATATAGATGGTGGCTAGCAGTGGAATCCAGAACGCGCGTTTTGTCTTATTTTGTACCTACGTGCCAGAATTGATGTTCACTTTGGAACTCGAACCCAGTACTGTTAGCTTTAAACGCCATCGCGTTATCCATCGAGTCTCGGAGTGAACATCAACTCTAAAATGCAGGTACATCCAGTTGACGAGTTCTGAATAGGACGAAACGCGCGTCCTGGATTCCACTGCCATCCACTATCCATCTTTGCTTATAAAGATAATTTGTAACGAATTAACATAAGCTGAAGAGTCGACATAAGCAAAGAAACATTCGACAGTTGTTTTTATTCTGATAGTTATTCATATCAACAACTTCACATTTGATTCGAATCCATAGCATTCATTCCTCATGGCAAGTTCGTTATCTTTAGACCATTAAATAGTAACTAGTGAAGTACATTTATATCAGGAATTACTGGTAAGAAAGCTGATAAGATAATTTATATTATTACAAGTTCTCTATTTATTAATATCTCTCATTTTATTTCACTTGATATTGTTTTGTTTGAATCTTCCCATTGATGTTTTTGGACTGAAATTGATCAGTCTGTTATTGGCATATGTGCATACTGTGCGTATGCCTCGATATTGCCTTAATTTACAAGCATTATAAGCAAAGATGGATAGTGGCTAGCAGTGGAATCCAGGACGCGCGTTTCGTCCTGTTTGGGACTCGTCAGCTGGATGTACCTGCATCTCAGAGTTGATGTTCACTCTGGGACTCGAACTCAGTACCGTTCGCTTCAAACGCCATCGCGTTATCCACTTAGCTACTGAGTCCTGATAGCCACTTGCTTGTGCAATGGCTATCAGGACTCAGTAGCTGAGTGGATAACGCGATGGCGTTTGAAGCGAACGGTACTGAGTTCGAGTCCCAGAGTGAACATCAACTCTGAGATGCAGGTACATCCAGCTGACGAGTCCCAAACAGGACGAAACGCGCGTCCTGGATTCCACTGCTAGCCACTATCCATCTTTGCTTATCTCTCATTTTATGTTTATTTTTCAAATTAGTACAACTGTGGTATGTACTAATGATATCCAGCGGTGTTAATGTCAAACCTCAACCAATCCACTAAATTACGCGACCATCTCCCATTTTACTGAGGTAGATATCAGTTTCTACCCGACACGGATTAGCTCCACTAGTCATGACTTCCCGCTAGAACTCCAAAAATTTCCTCACGAAGTTAATCACTAGTGAGCACATGGTAATTATCAATCAGCATAGGGTTGTGGAGTTTACTAAGTTTTTGATTGAGATCATGAACCGAATGATGTTAAACCATCAGTGAAAACCTGGAAGTACTGAACGGCCGTTTTGTCCTATTGTGGGACTCCTCAGCAGTGCGCATCGACTCTCGCTCCCGGACGCTTAACCTCTAGACTACTAAGCCGGCATACAACGATGTTAATTCGATTGTCACCATTTGTGTATTCTCATTCACCACACAATTTTATAGACAAAATTTATTTTACATACAACTGAATATGAATCGATTTTAGTTATATAATTATTAAAAAACCAGTAGGTAATAGACAGTTTTGTTTCATCCCACTTTCGAATTCATCATCAGTGTTCATTTATGTTAAGCTTAACAACAATCGACCATAGGACCTTCAAGTCTGGTGATAAGAATGTAATCCTTAAAGATAACTAAGTTGGTATTCAATGGTTTACATGTTAAAGTTTCCATTAATTTATGATATTCTTTTAAGTCTTTGATGTCATTCAACCAGATGCATATATGCCTACTTCTTATATTCAAGTTAAACTTCAATCGTGAATTACAAGACGCACAATGAATAGGAAGCTGTAACTATCAATCATAGCCTATTGTATATAACATATCAATACATGTATATTCCTCTCTCTTGCATATAAAGTCGAAGACCTTAACAAAGTATATAGTTAGCTTCATATAATAGTGTGCATCACTGTAACCTCTCACTTAGCCCTTTACCTTAAGACAATTTATGACCATAAGTACCATTATGACCTAAGTCATGATGGGTTTTTTTATCAACTTGCAACTGAATCTAATGATTCCTTATAATGTACTTAGTGTTAATTGGTGCTGGTCAACAAATTGTCCCAGTAATCTCAAAGAAACTGATTGTGTATTTTTAGTTGGTGGAGAAGATTTGTAGCTCAAATAGATGATCTTGGTGGAGTTTTGTTCTCTGAGCTGGATGGTTTGGTGATAGAGCTTTCATAATTCTTCTGAACAACAAACGTCTACCTAAAGTTTGTGCTGATGATCTCGTTCAGAAGAATGATAGTGTATTGGAATACAACTCATCTAGTTAGTTATTCTGAGGTATTAGAACTAAGCTATTAAGACTGCGACTGACCTCCTGTAAGATAGATATACTGATGGATTACTGAGTAGTGAAAAATATCATTTTTGTTCAGATTTTTCATTCGAATATAGTTCTATTGATAAAGTTGCAGCGCGGCTACTAGTCTAAGTGACTCGAGATTGCGTAAACTATGCCTGAATATTAAATGATTGGAGATGGTTAGCAGGAAATTTTTTGATATAGGTTTTATCCTAGCTGACACTTACCAGGTAAGCATACGTTTAGTTTTCAGTGAATGGTTACTCTTTAAGGAATTCAAAATCTTCGTCTCCCACTATCTTAGTGTTAGTCATGTTATCATTGCTCTGTTTGGACTGGTATAATTTCCTTCATGTTTTCAGATATAGACCTTCTCATACAGTGTCAACTAATATGAAACTTATATCGAAGAGAATGTTTTAATGATCAAAATACTTGGCAACCCATTTTTGTAAAAAAAAAAGTAAACTGACTACTGTACATTATCGAAAAATGATAACATACTTCCATCAGCGCATGTTTCAATTCCAAAACCTTCAAATCGATTTACATTCCAACTACCTTCATATTTTGCTTGATTATTTATTGATGTTTTCACTCCATATTGATTAAAAGCACCTGAATTAAATTCACCTTGATAAATCCATTTTCCTCTTACTTGAATACCATTACCATGACGTTTACCTTTAATCCATGTACCAGCGTACATATTTCCATTTGGCCATAAATATACACCACATGTTTCAAAGCCTAAATTCCATTCACCAGAATATTCACCAATACCATTTGGTCCTGTAGCTAAACCAAGTCCATGAGCTGAACCTTGATACCAATTACCAATATAAGTACCACCATCATTAAAATCAAAACGTCCACCGTCTGTATTCATTTGACTACAATTTCATATAAATACAATCTATCTATACTTTTGTATAAATGATATGATTTTGAAGGTGTACATTAAGCGTTTAATGTTTGGTTTTAAGCATATTCCAAATTGAATCTACAAGGTTCAATAGATATCAAAATGTTTGATCTGAGAAGATTGAATAGTTAACATTGATTATCAGTTTTACTAATGTCATTGGAAAATAAGAATAATTTATAGAAAGACAAAGAAATGATGAAGTTTAGACTCCACAACAGTATGTATCATCGATATCGCACATGGGACTCGAACTCAGGAGCTTCGATTTTATGCACAAATGCTTAACCTCTAGATCACTGTGCCAGTATCCTATGATATTGATGTCTAACTTTAGAAACAGATTACAAAGTTTGATTTAGTATTCTCTAGTTTTATAGACAAGCAATACTACTGAGGAATTATTCAATCTGTAAAATGACTGTATAGAATTGAGAAATAGATATGCTAATTGACGATTTGATAGAATTTGATGTTATTCTATCTCATTATACAGTTTCTAAGGAAGAAGAAATGTGAATGTTCACCATTGGTACAATCATATACATCATAATACATCCGATTCCATAAGTAACACTAAGATACTTTACCAAGTACTAATCTAAAATATCACTAATATCTAATCTGCTTATTTCTCTTAATCGAACCGGTTATGATATACCACATTTTTTCTTATTTAAAAGACTGAATTATAGATTTCAGTCTATGAATTAAGTATATACAATGTATTTGAATGATTTCAGTTAAGTGGAATTAAAACAAAAATAAGTCATTAATTATTTAAAAATGATGGATAGTGGCTAGCAGTGGAGTACGGGACATGCGTTTCGTCCTATTTGGGACTCGTCAGCTAGGTGTACCTAAATCTCAGAGTTAGGACTTGAACCCAGTACCGTTCGCTATAAACGCCATCGTGTTATCAACTTAGCTACTAAGTAAAGTAAGTAAGTTCAGTATTTCAGTGTAACGCGATGGTGTTTGAAGCGAACGGTAGTGCACTGAATTTGAGTCCCGGAGTGGTCATTAACTTTGAGGTACGGGTACTTCTAACTGATGAATCCCACAGTAGGATATAACGACCGTTCAGTACTTTCAGGTGGTCCATGGTGGTCTAGCTACAACTGACTAATGAATTCAACTCTTAAATTACTAAAATCTCCATAAAAAGACCTCTCTAATTTTGTAAACTATTAAAAAGTTTAACAGAAGCTCCTAATTGACATTATTCAGTTCAATTATTAAGAAAGATAAGAAGCTGGATGAGAGAATGAAGAAGATAGCAAGATGAATGAATGAATGAATCAACATTAAAGTATGGGGGGAATAAGTCATTTCTAACATTTCACTGGTTGAAATCATGATTCATTTGAAGCTAGACCGCCATGGAAAACTCGGAAGCAGTGGACGGCCGTTTCGTCCTATTGTGGGACTCCTCAGCAGTGCTCATCCACGACCTTGTCTCCTGAAAGATTTGAATCCAGGACCTACTGGTTTCCATGATGATCTAGTTTCAATTGACTCATGATTTCAATCAGTGAAATTTCTAAAATCTCAACAAAACCCCTCCTGATTTCGAAAATGTTTAATTAACAGTTAGAGTTTAGTTTAACTATCATTGATTATCTCTCTGTAAATTTTTGTTTTCAAGGAATATTTTCTACATAAAGCACTAATTAGATTAACAAAAGAAGAAGGAAATTAAATTATCAAGATATATGATGACCTTGACGTAAAATTTGATTCTAAAAGTATTATGTTACTTTTAAAAAGTGTATCATCGGCGAGACTTTAATTTATGGACGAGCCAATCAGAGGCGTTTTAGAGATTTCAAGGTTACGGCGCCAACTTCAGTGCTTAATGCAAACGTACGATCGGTTCACAAGGAATTTTGTACAAAACGTGATCATTGAGTGGCTGTAACAAATAAAACGGCAAGACTATAATTTCTGGACGAATCAATCAGGTATAAGATAATAGATATCGGATTTGAACGTGAAAGCCTTTCATCCATTTGGCGAAATAAACTCCTGGCATTATAGATGATGTCAGTTCGTGATGAAAACTGCATATATAATTCCTAACTAAGGCAAATTATGACGATTATCGCGAACTGGATAATAAAAGCACCAGTAACACTAGCTTCAGACAGCTACTGCAATATATAAGGATGATTGGAGAGCGTACTGACTCCTACACAGGCTTGGTTATGTGCATCGTGTCAATATCTACAAGTAGCATTTTGTGGACCCAACAACCGGAGTGCACACAATCAATATTGAAACTATGTGGTTGAAGCTGAAAGAGTTTTTGAGATTTTATCATGGCTCCAGAGGCCGACTATTCTGTAGCCGTATGGATGATTTCCTTTACTGCATCCATTACAATTTTAGAACCTCAGAACCTCTTTCTAACCTTGACAAGTTTTTGAACCACGTATAAGAAGTGTATCCACTTGATTTTTTTGGTTTTGCATAACATATTTTTACTCTATACTGACTGTTTGCTGTTTGACTAATATTTCTCAAGGTCGATTAAGATTCGTTTAAATGTCGTCCATAAATTAGAGTGCCGCCGTATCATCTTGAGTAATAGATACCTATTTAAGCGTTTTATGTTCACTTCAAGACATAAGCTCACTAATCATAATTATCTGTCGAATAGGTACCTTGGTAAGAAGCCTTACCCACCCCCACCCCCTTCCCACAAAGAACGCTGTCCAAATGGAGAAACAAAAGTTCATAACTCTCAGAATTTTCTGTCTTTCAACTGATGTCAGTTTGTTCAAATAATCAATTTCAATGGTAGATAGTGGCTAGCAGTGGAATCCAGGACGCGCGTTTTGTCCTATTTGGGACTTGTCAATTGCAGTCTTAAACCTCAATGGGAAGATACAAGCCAAACAATGCCAAGTAAATCAACTTAAAGTTTATTGACATCATTGAATGAATTTGACCAGATAATGAATCATTTGCTTATTAGAGAATAGTTTCTAGTTGGATTATTGAATTTCTAATGGGAAATCTTGATATGTCTTAGTGAAATGTGCTTAAACAACACATATACACAACATCTTCTTATACTGAAGAATACTTTCAACTCTTACTTCTACGCAAAATTCCTGAGAATCAATGGTGCTGAAAGTGAGATAATTCACATTGATAACATCACAATATCATAATTTATTTGAAATGAGATATATAGTTCAATGGATATCAATTTCGGCTTGAACTCATCGTGAATCTCAAATATCACATGTTTAATCCCTAGATAAGTCAAAATAACTAATCTTAAATAGGACGAAACGTGCATCCTGGATTTCACTGCTAGCTACTATCTATATTTGCTTAAAAAGCTTGTGACTTAAGGCTATATCGAGGCAATGCGCATAGGATGCACATATGTCAATAAGAGACTGATCGATGACGGTCCTAAATAACAATGGGGAGATACAAGTAAAGCAACACCAAGTAAATCTACTGTTATCTACATGTCAATGATAGTCTATTTAACGTTACTTCTTAATACAAACTATCTTAGAAATGAACATTTCAAAAAGCAGAAGGGTTTTTGTAGATATGATAATAATTTTAATGGTTGGAATCATAAATCCATTGGGGCTAGACAACCATGGAAAACCTAGAAGCCACTGAATGACCGTTTCATTGTATTGTAGTTCCTGGGTTCAAATCTCACAAGGAGGGATAGTGGATGCGCACTGTTGAGTTGACTCATCATCCCAACCATTTAGATTTCACAAATCGATAAAAGATACTATTATTGTTATGATTACACAATTTCTCACCATAATTGTACATTTAAAATATCAATAATCAATTATATTGATGATTATTACAAACATCTTAAAATAACTTAATTTTACAGATTGAAATCATGAGTCAATTAAAGCTAGACCACTATGGAAAACTCGGAAACACTGGACAGCCGTTTCGTCGTAGTATAGGACTCCTCAGTGGCAGTGCACATTCACGATTCCTTACCCTGAGACACTCGAACCCGGGACCTATCACTCTCGCGTCAAGCGCTTAACCAACTAGACCACTGAACCGGTATTCAATGGTGTTAATGTCTAACTTCAATCAATCCACGAAGTTCAATCTGTGAAATTTCTAAAATCTTCACAAACTCCTTCTGATAATCATTTAATTTATCCTATTACCATGTGAATGATCAAAAAGGCAACAAAAAAGAAATTCGATATATTCATGCTAAGTATAGTTAGTTACATTGATGTATGTATGTGAGTTGCTATGTAGATAGGTGTATCTGAAAGGATTGACATCATAATAATAATAAGCTAGAACAAGTTGTCTTCATTTGAGTAATTCTCATAGATATATATGTATATTCCTTTTCTTTATTACATAATCAATGTGATAGAAGAGTTTTTGTTATGGATAGAAAAACTTAGTGAGTGAAAAATTAGAATAAGAATAGGGGTAATGAATGAAAAAGAAGAGTATCCAGGATAGAGAGAGAATGTGTGTGTGTGTGAGAGAGATCGATTAAATTCGATTACAAATGATTTTGATTTGAATATTGAATAAGAAAGAAGTAACATAGAAACCAACTTAGCTAAATAGTTAGTCAGTCAGTTACAATGTAGGATCAGGCACATATATACATCGGTCCAAGTTGCCATACCTTTGTAGTGACTTAATTTTATCAAGAGAACGCGATTGATTTAATGGAAACAATTATTATTATTATAACCAATTGTACCAGTGATTGTTTAACTGTGCTAAAGACAACCATATTACTGCTCCATTATCTTTCGATTGTGAACTTGCACGGGTTCGGTTATGCTCGGTAACCACGTTTGTACTCCTTTGGTACGATCTCGGTATCCTTTCGATACCACGAGATCGCCAACAAACACATCTCGACTATAGCCATTAACTGCTTTCTGATATTTGGCTTACGGGAGATTTTATCGGTTAACTAACACGCTACACCTTAGTAGGACAATAAGATGAACACCGGAATCATAGAAGTAGTTAGTTTAGTGGTGGTAATATATAAAACAAAGATTGTGTATAAGGATATAGTACAGAAAGGA